ACTTCTAGGCAACTTGCTGTTGAAATTATTGTGGCCACCCTGGGAAACAAAACTGAGGTAATTTTGGCTCTTGAAGGCTCATAAGGGAAAGAGAATAGATTTTGCTTTAAGGTGGCCTTAAGGTTTACCTCTACCACACTACCAAGTCCTTCTCTAAAAATAAATATTCTAGTCATTGCCTTAATAACTTAGTAAGCATGAATAGAAGTAATCTTAATGTGAGATTAATTTAAATCAACATTTATTAAGTATCTACTGTGCACAAAGTACTGCTGTACTGTACGAGGCACAAATTTCAGGTAAAGAGTAGTTTCAGAGAAGAAAAATAAGGGGGACAGGTAAGGAAACATACTAGAAATATTCTTAGCTATATTACTATGCTTCTTATTTATATGATCATATCACCTATTTGAAAGATAACAAGTAAATGTAAGGCAAAAGCTCCATGCTGCCCCTTGGTGGTGCCCTGCCAAACTGAACCCTCCCTGCATGAGATAAAAGACCAACTATATGAGAGAAGCTGTCTGCCACCAGTATTCAATCAATAAATATTTACTGAACACATATAATGTACAAGATAGATCTCATGGGATACAGAGACATGTATGAGGCATGGGTATAAAACCTCAAGGAATTTAAAATCTAGCTGGAGAAAGAGAATTTTTAGAAAACACAACACTGCAAAGCTACCTCAAGACAGGCTGCCATCAAACACTGAAATATCAATAAAATATCAATTTAAAAAAACCGTAAAAGTCAAATTGAAATACAGACCTCTCTAGATACCAGGTGTTACAAGTGAAGTCTCCAACCTAAACTGGGTTAACAATTAAGAAGTTGGTGCAGTAGAAAGAACACAAGAGTCAAGAAATCTGGGTTTGATAATACTAGGCTATATGACAAGAAGAAAATAACATATCCCTTAGCCTCAATTTCTTCATCTGTAAAATGGAAATATATCATTTGAGATACTTCAGGGGGATGCCATGAAAATAATGGGGTTTTTTTTAATCTTAAAACAATAGAAAGATATGAACTATGACCATAAAGGTAGTAACTCTAAGCACAACTTAAACTTGTTATTTCCTCCCAGCCATTTTCACCCAAAAGATGGGCCAAAACTACTTGCTGCACAAGTGTTTCCTCTGCCCCTTTCAGGGCTCTCCTACTCAAACGAGGCTAGACTAGGATTGAAAAGAAGAATGAGCATCTGGACATGTGGTGGGGGAAGGATAGAGGCCGTTTATAACATTATTAAAAAACCAACCAGTGGCAAAGCAAAGAGTCTCCATCTATCAAGTTTTTAGAATTACCCTATCGTAGAGAAGTAAAAAAACAAACAGAAAAAAACCCCTTGCCAAATATTGATGCCAAATAAAAATTTATCAGACAAATATTTATATTTGTTCTCCAAATCATGAGTATTACTTTTGGTCAATATGAACACAAAAGGTCTAATCCTTTTCCTTCTCATGGGCTATATAAACTTCAACTGACCTCACAACTCCTTCATTAGTCTTTATCAAGGTAATACAAAATGGTCTTTTTTTTCCTGTTTAATTTTCTGAACAAGTACTTACATGGCCTAATACAAGCTGATAATATTAAACTGATTCAGATTATTCTAACAAAGTTTATCAGTTTAGAGATCCTTGGATAAGACATTTTACAGCCTTAATTCTTGGACTGCACTTTTCTAAAGGATGGCTGTTTCAAAGTAATGTTCCAAAGGCAGAATCAAAGAAAAACAAATTAAAAGGATAAACTATTTAATTGCACTAGCTCTGGGAAATCTTTTCCACATAAAAAAGTTCTGTGACACATTCCACATTCTTTAGTATTGAAACTTGTGACATATCTAATACAAGCTTCTTTTTATTAGATCTACAGAGTAATTTAAAGCAAGCAAGTTTATATTTACAGAAATGATTTTGGCAAAGAAGGAAAAATTCAAAATTTCATAAGTAAAAATAGATACAAGTTTAGCTTACTTACCTGGGAAGTGCATTACTTTTTCTCAACTTTTTGAAGGAAAAATGTTTAATATAAACATTTCTAACATTCAAGCCTGTGCTTTATTTTTTATATCACCAGCCCTTTTTACATCACAGCAGCTTGAGGACATGTTCACATAAGGGCACAACCATTCTTCTGAGTTTCAAAGAATTATTTTATTACTCGGCTAAATTTGTGAGAAAGCAGTTTATATGAATGCCAGTTGTACCTTTTTGGAAAGGAGGATGTAAACCTATTTAGTGATCTGCCTTTCTCTTTCATCTTGTCTCTAGTTTCTGTGTAGATTTATAATGTTCATTGTTTCCAATTTTAACAAATCACCTAATGGCAGAAAGGAAAATATGTTAACCTTGGAATTATTTGCAGTTGGAGAAATCTCTTTTGTCTGGCCCAAGCTGGGCCTGCAATCTGTTTTAAACACAGATTGTCTGTCTTTCGTCTGACAGCCACCAAGCTGCACAAATTACTTTCTGCCTGTTCACCTGTTTGCAGCTGTGTCTGTAAGCTCAAGATTCTGCAGTTTGACTTGAGCAACCACTTCAGGATTGATGACATGTGCTGCTGATAAACTGAGCAATTTGAAGAAATTACTGGCTATAGTTATTGAAAGCCATCTGGGCATGAGCTGAGCACTAGAAGCCTTCAATCATGTGTGTGCAACCTGCAGTGGCGGCAGCAGTGTTTGAAGTGATACCCTCCTAGAAGTGGGTTAGCCTTGGCACTAAAGAACCAAGCAAGGGATGGAATATGTATGACCACTCATAAGAATAATAAAAGAGTATGTCCTCTTGGAACTATAAACTATAATTTGAGGTTTACACCTTTCTTCAAAACATTTTTTTTGGGGAAATGGACTACACTAACAGTTCAAATTTCCTATTCCCCCTCACAAAGGAAGGGTTCCTTCTTTCCTAAATCAACATCCTCTCCACCATCCCCCACTGCACATTCTTATTGGAACTCTATCAGCTTCTCTGAATTTCTCTGTCAATTTGTTTTCAACAAGGTGATTTAGCTGAACTACTTATACAACCACTCATGTCAGCCACAAATATAAGTTATTTGTGTGTTTTACATGTGATCATTTTACTTCTTCACACAATTTTTCCCAAAGTCTACATTCATGTTTTTGGGACTAGAAACAATAGACAATATAACGCCTTTTTTGAATCAACATTTCTTTATAAATCAGACAGAAGTAGTAAAAATGACAATTGGGGCAGAAAAAAACTACACATACACTTTGGTTACATTACAATGTAGTTCATTAATACTGAGAGGCTATTCATCTAGCTCTGAAAGAATAAAACGCATTCCTATAAGCAATGTTCAAATTAAAATGGACACAAGCTATGTGACAATAGACAAAACACTTTTAAGTCTTCAGAGAACTATTAGAGACTTGAAAGATTAAGCTGTAGAAAGGCTGTGTTCTGAGGACATGGAGAGTTGTTCCCATTCCACATACAGATGAAATCATATTTAACATATATATTTAATTTTTATATTGTGTGTGTGTGTGTGTGTGTGTGTGTGTGTGTGTGTGTACTATTTCAAATAACAATAATGATCACTGGCAAATTTTACATATTTATATTAAGATCAGGATTAAATGAAAAAACATTCATAACATAGCACACAAACATTCTATAGGAAGGACCAAAATATTATAAAGATACATTTAAAAGTTCACTAAGTTTCATGTATTTTATGCATGACTCAGATGTACAGTTTGAATGAAAAATACCAGCTGCTTTACTCTGAAACCATCCTCGAAAGTTAAAATTCTGCATTAGTTCTGATAAACATTTGGAAACTCTCCCCTCTACTTCTACATTTGTATAAAACATTACAAAACAAAAGAAAATAACAGCAAGTTAAATAAAAGATGAAATGTAAAATGGATTAAAAAATGGCAATACCACATGCAACATTAAAAATTTCTCTTTATGTGTAACTACATCAAACAGAAGAAAATGTTAACTTTAACTGAAAAATATTCCTTAAAAGATATTCCACTTCTTAATTAATTCTATGAAAAAGTAAAATGTCATTAGTGGTACAAGGTTGCAATTTCTTAATAGAAATTTACTAAATGAGACAATATTTGAGGCGGTAGTGAAAACAAACAACCACCACCAAAAACAAACTATAATTAGGAAAATAAAAAAAAGAAACTGTTGAAAAAGTATTATGCATACAATCAATTTTCTAACTACATCAGTTTAATTCCAATTCCTAGCTTCCCCCCATATCTGTTATTTCATCTGCAAGGAAAATTGAGAAAAACACAAAATAGCAAGATACAGAATATTCTTTAAATTCATCTTAAAATATGGCTATATAACATTGATATTGGGATGTTCCAATATATTTGGGAAAAACATTTTTGGAATATTACATGTCATAGCATTTCCAGAACAAATTTACAAATGTTGCTAAAATATACACTATGGGCTTATGTTTTATATTGAAAACTTTCAGCCTGTTAAAAATTAAGTGCACTTGAAAAATAGGAAGACCAAAGCTTTAAAGTTAAGTAACTATATAAACATGGCTTTCACATCTCAGAGCTCATAAACTGTATTCCATCTAAAGCTAACCAAACCAAACCAACAAAAGAGGACATCTATCATTTATCCATTCAATAAATCAAAGCTTTATCATTACTTACATATAGTAACAACATATCCATAAAATCTTTAACACACATTACCATACTACTGAAGAAATGGCTTCTGTGATATCTTTCTTTTTTAACCATATCTTGAGTTCATAATTTTTTTAGCATCAGCTTTTATTTTTAAAGGGCTAAGTCGTGAGAACATTCTTATGTACCACTTCATAACTCTGACACCAAGTATATATAAAAAGATTAGACTTTATTTGGTATAAAATCAGTTGGCAGTTTTACATCTGTGCAATGCAACATAAATATACCAGCTGGCATCTCAAACACACACACATATGGACTTCAAAACAGAAACTTCCTTATTTGCAGCACTGCCAGGGTAATTTTGTATCCTCTGCATACTACAGCTATTTGTCAGGACCCTGCAGGTGTGCACTGCACATAAACACACAGCTGTAGCCTAGCAAGCCAAGTGTTCCATCAAACACATAAAGGGAGACCTCAGCAGTTGGATTAGTCATCTCTGCAACAGGTCCGGGGAGAACAATATGGGTTAGTATTTTTGGAAAAAGCATGGATGGCAAATTTATGATTATGCTAGCCTTACCAAATAACTGCTGGATTGTGTCATTTTTTTTTATGTGATGTCTACTTATTAAAGTTTTGGTTAGAATGGCTAGAGGAGACTGAATATTTTTTAGTTTTTAATATAAACAATAATGTAGTTTATATATTAAATAGTTTATTAAGTGTAATATGTTAAAAGGTTTCCATACTAGAGGTTGGTTTTTGACAGATGTTGTAATAATTTGCATTGAATGTAACACAAAAATCACTGGAATCAATTATAGTTGGCATATCAAATATTTTTGCAAGTTATCCATATATTTTTGTAACGTTATTGTAATTTCATGGTATTTTCCTTTTGGTATGGATATGTTTCTTTCTAAGGTAAATATACACCAGGCTATGGTGATCAATCAAAACTTCTGGAAACCTCAGTTTCCTTATTTGTATAATGGGGATAATACTATTCCTACTAACTCACAAAGTTGTGAAGATCAGGTGAGAGATTTTCTGTAAACTTTAAAAGGCTATATAAGTGGTTATTATTAAATGGATAACTGTGAATGTCTATATCAATTTCCCTAATATCACAGGATCTCTCAGATAGTAAATAACTTATTTTTTTAAAAATTCATTGTTAAAATATAGTAAGAGTTACTATTATCCTAAAAACACTTCCTTGTTAAAATTTTTTACAAGGTATATGGGACAGGATCATTTTTGTGAAAACCACAATCATACACTTTAAGAAAACTGGTTAAATATTTCAGGTAAATGGAAATTATGCACACTCTCACCTATTTTTTTCAAAGAACAGTCATAGTCCACTTGGAAGCTGCTAGGACATAAAATATACATCAGAAAATGAACTTAAATATATTCAACTAAATTGTGGCGACCAGTAAATTTCAGTGAAGTAAAATAATAGGAAAAAAGTGCAATAGCTATCTAAAGTTAGGGGATTTATTTGATGATGCCTGAAAAGGAATTAAAATACCTAAATATATTGGCCCACCTCAAATCCTAATTTCTCCATAAAGCCAATCTACTTAAGTTGAAATATGAAGTGGATCATTATTTTTCTTTAAGAGAGAAATGACTGAGACATGTGCATGAATTAACTGATTTATGTACATCTAGTTTCCCTAAATTATTTTCAAATGAAATGTGCCATTTTTATATTTTATACAACAATGCAGCAGCTAATAAATGTCACTAATACATAGTATGTAGTTAAAATTTTATCGAAAGAGTCAATACTACAGGAACAACACAGGTGGTTGAGAATGCACTCTAGATAAGCACAGTGCTTCCTTGCTCCTATAAAATTCATGGGAGTCAAAGCTGTCTTCAAGGCATCTTAGGAACTTTCTTTCATTGGTGGCAAAGAATTGGAAACTGAGGAGATGTCCATCAATTGGGGAATGGCTGAACAAGTTGTAGTATATGAATGTAATGGAATACTATTGTGCTATAACAAATGATGAGCAGGCAGACTTCAGAAAAACCTAAAAAGACTTACATGAACTGATGCTGAGTGAAACGAGCAGAACCAGGAAAACATTATACACAGTAACAACCACATTATGCGATGACTAATGTTAATAGACTTAGCTCTTCTCTTATTAGCTCTTCTGCTATAAGAAATGATGAGCAGGCAGGCTTCAGAAAAACCTAGAAAGACTTATATGAACTGACGCTGAGTGAAATGAGCAGAACCAGGAAAACACCATCCACAGTAACAACCACATTGTGCGATGACTGATATTTATAGACTTAGCTCTTCTCTATTAATGCAATGCTGTGATCTAAGACAACTCCAAAAGACTCATGATGAAAAATGCTATCCATATCCAGAGAAGGAACTCTGGAGTCTGAATGCATATAAAAGCATATTATTTGCTCTCCTTTACTTTTGTTGTTTTGTTTCTTCTTTCTCATGGTTCATCCCATTAGTTCTAATTCTTCTTTACATCATGACTAATGTGAAAATGTTTAATATGAATGCAGAGGCTATATCAAATTGTAAGCTTTTTTGAGGAGGGAGAAGAGAGGAAGGAGGAGAAAATTTAAAACTCAAAATCTTATGGAAGTGGATGTTGAAAACTAAAAATAAATTAATATAAAAAAACCCTTTCTTTTATGATCTCCACGACTACCATAACTAGGTTCATTTATTTTTTAGTACAGAAACAGTGTAGATTTTCAAAGATTCAAAGAATCTCTGAGTTCAAATAGACCTTAGAGGTAATCTAGTTCAAACACCTATCAGAAACAAATAGGAATATGTGAAAAGTGATGTCCTTTCCTCAAAGCTGTCTAGTGAAAGGCAATGCAAATTCTTCCTACCAAGGGAACCTATTTCATGTTAGTTCTACCTGATACTTATTAAAAAAAAAAAATTAAATGGTCTATTAGTCCTAACTCGGTACTTTGGAACCGTAAAGAATAAATCTAATCCCTCTCATGTATTCACTCCTTCAAATATTTGATGTCCTTTTTTCTCCCTAAGGTTTTTCTTTTTCACTTCTTTTAAATAAATTTCATATGACTTGAATTCAAGTCCCCTAACTAAATCAAACATATAAAGCTTTAGATATGGTTTCTCAATCAGCAAAGAATTTGCCTAATTGTACTACTATCCAATCCAATCCAAATATCACCTTCTTAACGATGGTATCATGAAAGACTTTGTCATCTGCCTTACTGAAATCTAATTACACTAGTTATGTCTACTGCATTCTCATGATCTATCCACCAAGAAAGTCTATCAAAAAAGAAATGCTGGTATTTTAACGTAACTTGTTCACATTAAAGGCACAGCAGCTCCCAGTGTCATCTGTCTATAAAAACTGTTACTGCTTCTTCTAAAGAACTGTTGCTTCTTCACAGATGATCTATTGGAAATAAATCCTATAGTTAGTGGAATCCATCTCATCTCCTCCACTTTTAAATATTTAACAAAAGTAGTACATTTAACATACCATGAGAAGGATACTGAGCAAAGATACAATACTGATTCAGTTGAAAGCAGCATCCCCTACCTCTAAATTTGTAACAGTGGAAGCCAGCCGGAGGGATGTCAAACCCAAAAAAAGGGCAGACTATTTTTGTCCTTGCCTTAGGTTACTGTCAAGTTATGTGAATGTTTCAACTTAGTCCCCAAGGAAAAATGTCTCCAGGAGAATTTAATTGACTTTTAAGAGAAAAACTAAACTAGTTTTTGTGAAATAGGTGTTGCTCCCACCAGAAATATCTATGAGACTTCCAATCTGAAATGTCCAGGAGGCAATTAATGATAGAGATGAGAAACTGAGGTTTAATATATATTCTAGACACTCTCCCTGTTCTCCATGACCTTACAATCTACTGGAGAACTGGGTGAGGAGAGATGAGACATGCATGGAGAAGATGCTGTCACCCAATTTTTGCAATTTCACCCATACTCAATCACCTTCCACAATTTCACAAAAAAGTTACTGACAGAAAAGGAGCAGAGGCAAGATGGTGGACTAGCAGGAAGAAATACAGCTTAGTGTGCTGAGATAACTTCTCCACAAATATCTACAAAATGTATTAGTCTAAGTCTTTGTTAGCACACTCAAGAAAAAAAAATCACAGCCAAATTTTCAGATAGTATCAGCATAGGAAACTAGGGATGGGATCTGGCCAGGAATGCTTGGGAGTGTAGCATTTCTGTTTACAGGAAATAAAAGAAGACCAAGACTGTGGCCAGAACAAGATGAGTTCCGAAATTATGCATGGAGACCCTGACCTTGTGCAGCATGTAGGGAAAATTGCCATCTGGCAATTCTGTTATTCACTACCTCACTAAAAATCACCGACTCAAAACAGTATGACAGAAACTCAGTATAGACTAACATCTCACACCATATGCCAAGATAAAGCAAAAATGGGTAATAATTTACACATACAGGGTGATACCATGAGAAAATTATGAAAGCAGGAATAGTTTATCTATCACATCTATGGATAAGGGAAGAATTTATGATGAAATAAGAGGTTGAGAGCATTACAAAATGTAAAATAGATAATTTTGATTACATTAAATTAAAAAGGTTTCGAACAAATAAAACCAATGCAACCAAAATTAAAAGGAGAGAAGAAAATTAGAGGAAAAATTTTGAAACAACTATCTCTGATAAAGGCCTCATTTCTCAAATAGATAGAGAACTGAGGCAAATTTATAAAAATATAAGTTATTCCCCAATTGATAAATGGTCAAAGGAGATGAACAGGCAGTTTTCAGATAAAGAAATTAAAGCTATCTATAGTCATATGAAAAAATGCTCTAAATCACTATTGATTACAGAAATGCAAATTAAAACAACGATGAGGTACCATACCTCACACCCATCAAATTGGCTAATACGACAAAAAAGGAAATTCTAAATGTTGAAGGGAATATGGGAAAACTGGGACACTGGTGCACTGCTGGTGGAGTTGTGAACTGATCCAACCATTTTGAAAAATGATTTGGAACTATTCCCAAAGGGCTATAAAACTGTGTATACCCTCTGATCCAGCAATACAAAGCTGCTAGATCTATACCCCAAAGAGATTAAAAAAGGTGGGAGGGAGAGGAGAAGGACCTATTTGTACAAAAATATTTCAGCAGCTCTTTTTATGATGACTAATAATCAAGAATTGATGGGATGGACATCAATTGGGTAATGGCTGAACAAGCTGTGGTATATGATTGTGATGGAATATTATTTTGATATAAAAAATGACAAGCAAGACGATTACAGAAAAACCTGGAAAGATTTACATAAACTGACGCAAAGTAAAGTGAGTGGAACCAGGAGAACATTGTACACAACAGCAATATTGCACAATGAAAAACTGTGAATGACTTAGCTATTCTCAGCAATATAATGATCCAAAACAACCCCAAAAAACTCACTACGAAGCACGCTATCCGACCTCCAAAGAAAGAACTGATGTTGTGTGAATACAGACTT